AACTCTCAAGGACACAAAGGTTCCTCTGAGAGCTGAGGCGAACTCTCTCTGAGCTGTTTAAGAATGTTTGATTTGTAGAAAAGGCAACGTAACATTTCCGCATCTGAAAAAAACTATTCAGGCTGCCGCTGTTTGTGCTAGCTTTAGTGTTCGATCCTGTGGTGTGTCACTTCTAACGTTGCTGTGATGCGATTTAGGAGCAAGGTCCATACGTTAAGTTCCCCATCTTAACCTGAGCTGCATTATGACCTTTTCAAATACGTACTACATTTGGTTTTTCAGTACTGGCTGTAGTTTGGAGCTTTTGTTTGAGTTCTTCATTACCATTCTTACCTTTATGTCACAGATAATAGCCTCACTGCTTTCTGATCCGCCCTCCATTGCTGTACTATCAGAACCGTCACAAAGTCTGCTGCTGTGCTAACAACTGGTAATTCAAACTGAGCACTTTGTCCTGCTGCTTCATGTTAAAAGCTTTCCACTGGAAAACCACCCCGTTTCCTTTCATCCTCTGCAGTTACAAACAAAACAATCCCTTATTATTATTCCTCCATGTCTTATTTTCTCATTGTTTTCATTTTTCACTTGTTCCTTTTGATTTATTTTATTTGCTTGAATTTGTTTTTATATTTCACTGCTCTTGTGTGCAACTTTTTTCTAACACATAAAATAAATCCCAGATGCGGAACAATGAAGACTGAACTAACTGAACTATAACTATAATAATTATTGATGTAACCATTGAGGTTAGCGACTAATTGCTCACTCCTTGTTTGATTGAAAATATCAAACATATATCTATATAAAATATATGGCCTGTATTGAGATTTGCATATTGTCAGCAGTCTACAGTATTTCAAGATAGGGTAAAGAAGCATGCACAGTGAACTGGGTAAAGTATGCCATACCATGAAGTGTACAATTCCTTTGTTGTAGAAAAGCACCTTTCCTGTGTCATTCCCTCTGATCCCGGCTGCTTACAGCACAGCGTGGTGCAGGTGTCCCAATTAAAATGTGGGAAATCTTTTGTGTCTCATTTGAGCTGATGGCTTTATGTTCAGACTCTCTAGTATTAATGCTAAACCTGTCCTAAAGAACTTTTACTTATTTGCACACACTTAAGTACAAGGTCATCTTGTCATAGTTGAATACATATTTAAGAATGAAGAGATATTTGGATTTCAAGCACTCCCTTATCCTCTAACAGTACAGTTAACAGTACAGGAGATAAATCAAACCAAGACAGTTGAATTAGCAGCATCCCTGCATCCCTGAAAAATTCATGTATCATCAACAAAGCAAATAGTCTGGTCATGAAGTGCTGTTCATAGGATTTCTGACCAACTATACACTTAAGTGTGCAGTTTCTCTGTGTGCCCTAATACATCATCTTAAGATGATTGTGATCCAGACCAGGAAAGAAAGAGTGTCCATAGAATGGATTATCAGATGTATTACAGTATTCTTGTTGTCTGTCAGAGGCATTCGTTTCTACAATATCAAGAAACAAGAATTAGACTTAAATTAAAAGTTATGACATTTTTGTATTTATTTTACTTCAGGGAGTTTACTTTATTTGCAAACAATTATTTTGTACTTAATAATATCAAAATAAAATACCTAATGAAATAACAAAATGCTGTTGTTTTGTAGTTACATTTTTGCAATCAGCCCTACACATTGGATTTCCCTTGGCTGCTTTACAATAAATGCCACCTTGTGTTTCACCGGTTGAATGCTTTTAATGTGAAGCAGCAGCAGTTAACAGTGAGGTTGTTATCTGTGAGATAAAATTGTGCTAGATTACGTGTATGTATTGTTTTATTCTCAATCTCTTGTGTTTTAGTAGGCAGTCTGAATCCAGTGTGCGTATGGCGGACTCCACCACTACCAATAGAGACTACTGTATAGAGAGATAATTACAGAATGTAAATTTAATGGCTATTGCAGAAAACGCTGACCATAAATAGTATAAAAATGGGGGTTGATTTTAAGTCTAAGGCTGTAATTTATGTGATATGGTTTAATAGATCAGTACTTTCCTTGTCAAATATATGAGGTTCAAAGGGGAAAATGAGGTGCAACTTTGTCTGACACTTTCTTGGCTGGTGCCAGGATGTGCCCAAGGAGAGCATTTAAGTTTAGGGAGAACGTACCTGCTGACTCAAATGCCTGTATTGATTGGAAATGTCGTCCATGTAGCATCTTTTTTGCCCACAGTGACAAATACTGATCACATCTCTGCTTTGACTGCAAGCTTTTTACAACTAATTTACACAGTATTGGAAATTTACTTAGATTTGCACTTATTTTGGGAAACAGCCGTGGGTAAGGCCTTAACCAAGGGATTTTGCTTTTATAGCTTCTATATGTCCTTCGACTATCTTAAAATTCTGCCACTTTGATATGGAAGTTTGTGCAGAGTAATGTGTAGTGTTGCATATCATTTATTTTTCCATTCTACTACTTCAACAGCTTCAATTTCTTCTTTTTTTTTGTAAATTACCAGAGTATGTGTGAATGATGTCAGTCAAAATATTGTGTCTGCTAGTCTGTATGTTGTTACCCTGAAAACATATGGTCTCTCCAGCCCTAGTTTGTTACCCACTAACTAGATATTCAGTCAGGATGTCCAGTGTTACCATTAGAATAGTATTGGACGATGAACACACAGGAGCCTCAGCTGCTGGTTGAGTAAACAGCTGGTCATTAGTGTTGACTTAAATAACAGGTACAGTAGCATTAAAACCCTCCGGAGAGCCAACAGATTGCCCATCATCTGCGGTTACCAAGACAACATAATCTCACAAGATGACAGTCACATGATTTTTATATCGCACCATGTCATCAGGATGTTTGATGTAACATTAGTCTTTGTTACAAAAGGTGTCATTGTGGTAGAGGGCCATTTCAGGTTAGTAATGAAACATTTTAACAGGTTGACTGGAACAGAAACATTCTTCTTCCTCTTTTCTTCATCCGTCTGTGGATACTGCAAAAGTTCCAGACTGCTTCACAATAGTCTCACAGTATTACCTTTCGCAACAGTAATTGCTCTGTCATCATACGTAAGCAGACAAAGTCAGTCTAGTTGACTGTTTTGTTGAATGTGTTTCACCCTCCCTTTACCTCCAGCTTATCTGTTCACCTTGTCTGTCCATCTGCTCTCACTGCAGCCATTACATTCATGTGTGCCAGGTCTACTCTCAACCCCTCCCTCTGAGCCCCAGGGCTCATTTAGAGCATCTCTGTCACAGTCAGAGAGGCAGGGTGACATTGTTTCCATTCAAATGAAACATCTGAGATTTCCACCACTTCCAGGTTTCCTCCAATTGGATGATAAACACCAGTGACAGTCTTGATCACCACATTGACTATCTGTCACATCGGCCGTCTACTGCTGCTTTGTGGAGCTGTCTCTTCACAACTTTGCAAGATAACAAGCTTATTACACCCAGGCCTGTTACACTATATACAACTACAATAAAACCTCCAATGTGTATATATTTCAGTACACGACAACTGACTGCAGTCATTATTTATTTATTGTTTACTGTATCTGTCCCTATCAAATAAACATAAACAGGCTGAACAGCTATCCAATGCAAGTATAACAGTGTTGGTAGCAGATGCTAATTCAAAACACCCGGCCCTAGAAGGGCTTTTATCTTTAACAGACTACAAAAAGATACATAAAACACGGAATAAAAAAGACATTACATTTAAAAACTATGCGCGTGCAGGTTTGTTGCTGAATTAACCTGGGTTTTTTTTGGCTCGTTAAAAGTGGTAAAATTAGTAACAAATTTCAAGCGATCATGAGGCGAGTTCCAGGACTTTGCTCCTCTCATGTTTTACAGAATGGAACTTTATATTTAAAACTTGAAGCTGCTTCGACTCTGACCTGTGCCCCTTTGCTGCATGTCATCCCCTCTCTTTCTCCCTCCTTTCCTGCACTATCAATTAAAGACAATAAAAAAGCAACAAACAAAAAAACATTTAAAGACAAGCTTTACATGATGAAAATCAATATAATTTGCAAAGCTTACGACCTTGTATTTACCTAAAATGCGGAAAAATGTTTACCTTATTTGCTTTTTGTCCAGGATTTTCAAAGCCCCATTGTAGATATTCATTAGATATACGCTGGGTTTGGAAAGTATATTTGGATGCCTTTCTCAGTTCTTTATTTCTGACCAAACAACTGTTATCACAGTCCATCGTTGTAAACGGCAGGCTGCACAAAACAGACATGAAGCCTGAGAAAAATCCTTCCACATCCAATTTACTGTATGTGGCTGCCCATTAATATGCAAATGATTTAGCCATGTGGTCATCGTTAAAGCATCAGTAAAGTGGTGAAGGTTCATCTGTCTTTACAGTGACAAAACAAAGCACACAGCAAGTGGCTGTGGGGCAGTTCATTCAATGTTTAGCCCGGACTTGAGTCAGAAAAAAATCTATTAAGAGACCTGAATATCCCAGTTCATTGGTATTCTTGTCCAAAGAAGAGCTGAGAGCATCGGCAAGGAAGAAGCAAATGTGGGGTGCAGAATGTAGATCAAGTATTTAAAATAACAAAAGGAGTAAAAATTTGAAAGATAGAAGTGTCTGAGTTTGTGAATCTACTGTACGTGATCATAATTTATTCTTCCCCTCTCTCCATAGCTCAGTATTATCTTTCCTCTTATGCTGAGTTAGTGTGGTATAATGGGTGCTGAGTGCAAGTGGTGGGCTGATTCAGATGGTCTAATGAAAAGCATTTTCAGTGGGCTGTCATCTGTCAGCCACCATTAGATTGCAACATGTAAACAGTGGCTGACAGCAGAGGGAGGCTTTCCTGTAACTCAGAGATGGAACATGTTTTAAGTAAGTCTGAAGAAATGAAACCCAATCCCTGTTTCACTCTTTAGAATACAGATACACTGATACTCTTGTGTTTCATAAAAACAAAAACCAAGCCAGTAGTTGGTCAACTCTGTGTTGTGCTTGTTTTTCAGAATGGTACTGACTATGGGTTCCTGGTGCGTCAGAACTCTGAACTCTTGCGAGCCCTCGATGAACTGGAGAAGACTTGTACCACACTGAGGGAGGAGAATGGCCTACTGGTGAGACTAAAAATAACGGAGGGTTTTTGAAAAATCATGACATTGTTTTTCTTCATATTTACTTCCAGTGACCAGTTCTGACAATACATTTCTACCATATCCAGCTATTGCTGTAGTCCTTGTTCAGTAGGAGACAGTAGAACAAGGTCATCAGCATAAAACAGAGACTTCACCTCTCTATCTAGGAGGGAGAGGCCCGGAGCAGCACACTGATCCAACTGAACAGCAAGTTCAGTTATATACAGAACACATTAATGGATGCCTCTGTAGCTTACTGGGTAGAGCTTATACCACATGTCGAGGCTAAGTCCTTACCATAGCAGCCCGGGTTCGAGTAAGGTTAGAGAAGTAGTAGTATATGCACAAATTAAGTTAAATTGCATTCCCACAAACACCTCTTCTCTACAGCACACCTATTTTCCAAATATGTAACAAGATCATACATTATGCCCCATATACCACAATGTAGGTTCCCCGTGTCCCAGTGAATTTCCACTGGTAACACAGGCCGGTGTTATACAACAAGGACTGAATCCCTCTTCAAACCATTAATACGCCCTCCTGCATAACTGTTTTTGTGACTTTCTTGTTTGGCATTGCTGCGTTGGTGTTAGTACTAGCTGCAGGCATTGCCTGACGATGATATTTGTTTCCCGTGTGTTTAGCGGAAGAGCAGCGCCCCAGAGACTGAGGAGAAGGTCAGGCGGCTGAGGAGAAAGAACACAGAGCTGGCTGTTCTTGCTAAGAGGCTGGAAGAGAGGGCTCGAAAACTGCAGGAGGCCAACCTCAAAGTGGTATACCGCACAAATAAAATACCCCCCAACATTTTCACAGCAAACTGCATTGCCCACCGTGTGTGCCCTCACTCTGACCCAAATACTGGCGGTGACTCATTATGGAGCACCACCATCCAAATCACCATAATGTCCGGTAATGAGTTGAATGAAATAGTTCACCATGTGATGAATGGGAGCCTTGTTGAAAAATACCAGCACCCTATTGAATAATTTAATGCATCACTAGAATGGCTACAAGAACTCAGTTTTCAATAGGAAATCCAGGAAGCCTATTGAGATGTAAAATCTACTAAAAGATTACATAAAACAAACTAAAGATCAAACACAGCAGTCGAGGATGGAAGCATTTATATTTCTCATGAAACATGTCTTGAATTCAGTATTTTAAAACCTGACATGATGGCAACTCCTCCAGATGGACATTAGTTATCATCTGTACATAAATATTTTTATAAACTTTTATTTTGCGGAGTATGAAAGATGTAATCGTGATCATGTTAAGAAATTGGTTGAATCCCTCAGCGTATGGACAAGCTTGTTAGACAGCTAACTGAACAGACAGAAGGCTGCTATGCAAAATGCAAAAATATACAGTAGCTTCAGCAAAATGTAACAGCAAACTACTTTTTAATGTTGTAGGTATAAATGCTTGTGTAGTATTTCTTTCTTAGAGTTACCTTTAAATAAAGTCTCCTCCTAAAAATGACTTGAACACCATAATAAAATCTAAACCAATACAGTTAACAATTTAGGACCACCAGTATCTGTCCCGGCTGCTACGCTGACCGGCTGCTGTGTATTCTGAGTGCACCTGTTCACTAGACTGAGGGGGAGACCTTTTCCCTCCCCCCCTCATCTCCCGCTCACTGAAGGGCAGAGCAATGTACTTCTGATAGATCTACAGCAAGAAAAAGTTTAAAGACTTCTAAGAGCTTAACTGCATTCATTAAACCTTGTTTTGGACCTTATCTAAGCAGAGGTCAAAAGCTCATATATACCTATCCTACATTCAGTTTAAGCTACCAGAAATAAAAGATGAAAAAGAAAAAAGTTACACATTCTTAGATTTATATTAGCATTGTTGCATGATTTAACCCCAACAATAAAAATAATGTTAGCTGTTTGTACTGTAAACTTATAAACATCTCTTTTTTTGAAAATAACTTTTACACGCAGTCTAGGAGTGACTTTGACTGAGCTCTGAACATTATTTGCATTCATTTATGATAAACCAAATTTTTAAATGTCCTAGCATGGGCTTTTATAAACAGTGGATTAGTGTGATAATACTAACCAGCCTTATTAATAATATGTATGGCTCATTTTTGTAGTTATTCCAGACGTCCTCTATGAAATCCTCTCTGGTCATTGATACACATTTCCTTCTTGCTCCTGTGCAGGTGAATTCGCCGTCACTGATGAGACCTGGGTCAGTGGAACAATACAAGAGGGCCTTTGCCCGTCAGCGAGCTCGCGACCTTGCCCAGCACGCCGATGCACTGCTGTCTAAGGACAAAGAGATTGCTGCCCTACAACAAGAGTGCAGAGAGCTGGAGGCACGGCTGGGCACCACCAAGGTACTTAGAAAAACACCTCCTCAGTAACTCAGCCCATATTGAACCGTGCTCACTTATTTGGAATCATTCTCGACTGAAAGCCTGATTTAGTACAGCCCTCTGCTCTTCTAACATATCTCCGATCTAAGTGGATCCTCCAAGTTTTAACCCCAGTGTTCCCTCTGACTCGTCATCCCTGCCACAGGCTCATAATGCCACAAGCTCGCTCTCTGCTGGACAACATGGGTACTACTCATCCTAACTCCCTCCTAAGCCCGTATTACAAAGGCTGCGTCACTGCTGATGACTAGATGACAGTGCAGGAATAGGCTGTCCTTCTAAGTGCCTGTTTTTAATTACTGGTCCACTTAGGAGCTCATTCTGCTGAATGTGAACATCTGCTTGTTTAATACTAAAGGGTCTTACAGTGTGAGCTGTGCGTTGATCTAGTGAGAATGTATGGATGGGCTGGATCCCATGTTCAACTTAAACACATTTTCAACATGCAATAAGGGAGACAGGGAGGGAGTGTTCTTCTGATCTTGAAAAGGGAAATGTAAATATAATGTACACATTTTGATGTCAATGACCCTGAATCAGTTTTTGTGCATGTTTTTGTTTTTATTTATGTAGTGTCCCCTCTGACTGTTATATTTACTACTTGTGTTGTGAAGTCAGTTGTACACTGCTAAAATAACACGCCAGTGTACACAGTGTACATGATTACATACATGTCTTTGATTCAGTTTAGCACTTGCAGTTTGAAAATGTTAATTACTCAAATTATTATGTGCTGAATCGATGACGTTATTGTCTTATGGCTGTCACTGATGCATGTGTCTGTGCAGGGCTCCCCGGTTCCATCTGGCCGAGTGGAATTTGAGAGGCTTCTCAGGGAGTCTCAGAGGGAGGTGCTTCGGCTTCAGAGACAGCTGTCGGTCACATCAACCAAACAACAGCACAACTATAGTCCCCATGACCCTGGTGGCCCAGAGAAGTGTGAGGAAATTGTGGAGGAGGACGAAGAAGGGGAAGACAAGGTAAAGTCAGGCCCTCATATCAGAACACAGCACAACTCTACGCTGACCACTGTTGGCCTTAAGCACGATAAGTAAACCTTGTCTATGCACACTAAAACTGATGACATCAAATCAACTATAATTTTAGACATGAGATCAAAGTAGCAATGGCTAAGCTAGTTCCATCACAGCTGCTGTGTAGTTGGGATAGTTTTTATTCAGAATAAAATATACATACATATACTGTAACCTCAGTCAGTATAAAGGTTAAAAAATTGTAACACTGAAAAACTGGTATGATGAAACTGTTCAGCTCATTTGAGGTTAAGTATGTGATTACAAATACAGACCAGATCATGCTTTTACACGTAGGAGCGTCGATAATGTGTTGCTTCTGCAGTACAGTTTGGATTATATGTTGTTGGGTAATGTAAAATATAGCCCGCTGAGTTTTTCTAAATGCTAGTGTATGTTTATGTTGGCATGGATGCTGTTTTGCAGTGTTATATAATGGCTTGTCGTTGGACTCGATACTAATCTGCCACAAGCCATAATGAGATGATTCTCTGTCTTGAACTTGGGCCTGATCAAAGATACTAAAGTCACATACTCTGATCCTCTCTGCATTTAATACTGATCTTCTCTCTATTCACTTTTTAGAAACAGTTCTTCACCGGTGAAGTGATGCCCAGATATATTAGTCACTGGCCAAACAGTTGAAAAATTCACACAAATCATAACTATATATACAGGTTACATAATGCAGAAAATACATTATTTGGAATTGTGAAATTTAGTTGGTCACACCACTAAACATCTGTAATAGGGAAGCACATTGAGTGCATGAGAGGTACATCTGGAAGGTGCAATTTCTGCGTATTCATAACAGCCTACATCACTTAAAGGCATACATCTTATTTATGGATTTTATTTTGGTAGACCACTGCCACTGCCTGTGAAGTAGAGTAAATTCTCTGCCTGTGAAGCTCAAATAAGAATGCCGATTGTGGTAATCTCTCGTTTGTGGGACGCACACACGCACTCCCAGTGGCGCCCAGATAGGGGCCATGTTGTGTGAACTCTAATCCCCTCTAACAACAGAATGGTACAGTCCAGTAATCCGCTCTCTGTTGCTGTGGCAGCGGTGAGAGGGTTTTGGGTGGTAGGTAAGACTTCAGCCGCACTAAAGACTTTTCTATCTCGCCCTGCTCTGGATAACAAGCAGGCCAGGGGAAGCCTTGACGTTGCCACAGATCACACGAAAAGGGGTAGGTCATCTTATGAGTTTGGTTGTCTCTGTGCGTAGTTGTCAGTCGTCTGTTGGAGATCTCCTTGGCTAGCCTCCTATGTGTCCTCTTGGATGTCAGACTGAAGCCGTGCAAGACTCAAAGTTGAGACTTACCACTGAAAACTAATCAGTGTCATGACGAATCGGGAGTGTGAGGGAATTGGCTCAAGGCAGTAAGTGTTGCATTTGTGTTAGATATTAAAACCACCGGCTTATTCTGAAAGATTATTAGTATGTTACACGCCCCATGTTAGTGTAAGAATATGACTCGCAGCTACTGTACAGGGATTTTTCTTTTAGGTCTCATAGCTATTTTTTTTTAAATATTCCTTTCAGTAAACCCTAAGGTAAATCCCACCACTGACTTGGGTGGACTGCCACTTTCTTACAAATTAGAAAGACCGGACATGCATGAGGCCTAGTCAAGGGCAGCCTGTCAGAAACACGGTTTTATAACAGTCATATTTTGGAGCTTCCAGATGCAGAATTTAGACAGGCCGACTTAGTGGCAGGGTGGTAGAGCGTTTGATTGGTGGACATCGATATGCTCAGTATTAAAAAGAAAATCAACGGCCAGGCCAATCCATTAAGGTGCTTTTAAAAGAAGTGATCCAGTTACCCGTTTCAGTAGTCTGCAGGGATTACACCAATGTGCTTATGGCATTCAGGGCCTGCTGAATGGGATCTGACCCTGCTTTAGTACGCATGGGCCCAGGGTGTACTTGATCCTTTAGTGTACATGGACCACATCAGTGTGAAGTGTACACAATGGCACCTCACTGTGTGGAGCAGTGTCTAAACCCCGACCTCATCTGACAAAAACACATTCAGTGGCACCTGCTGTGTCCTCAACGTGAGGATAGACTTCAGACAGGCTGCATCCTCTCAGGCCAGCATCCAGCAGGATTTGAGTATACTGAATATTAACAATATTCATTACTTTAATTATTGTGTTTATGTGTGCACTGTTTCAGTTTTTAGATCAGTTTTGTCACACCCCCTCAGTCCCATTCACTGTCAAAAGACACGTGAAGAATTTCTTACTGTGACCTCAAAGGCAACAATAAAGAAGTTCAGTTCATTGTGTCATAGTAAACATGTGCATTTGCAAAGAGCACAGGAGCAGAGATAAAACTGAAGGTGTTTCTGATTTACGTATTGTCAAAGTTTAAACAAGAGCTAGTGTTCCCTGTTGCTACATTAGGACCTGTTGACCCATTCAAGTCTAAACACAGACCAAATCAACATGCCTCCATAAGGTGTAGTCTGCACAGCGAGGGAATGTAGTAAAGTGAGCAAAACATTCAGTCAAGCTGGAACTGTTCTTTAATGCCAAATGTCTATGAATAATTATACATTTATTCTGTATAAAAGCCCGACTTAGAACTCAGTGCTTGAATGCATAGTAAACAATTATACTGAAAGCTCAAATGGACTCTTATGAACATTTTATAAAAGTACATGTACTAGTTATATTCACTTATAAATTAGTGCCAGTTCACATTTAAATAAAACCTCTTTGCATGCCAGGAAATATTATGTACCTTTGATTTTAGGATCTGTACAGATTTTATCTGTCATTGATGATATATTATTTGCATTGTCATGTAATTATGGACCCTGCAACCAGCTTTTGTCCTTCCACATTATTCTTAGTCATGATTTAATTTGACTCCAGTAGCTTCAGGCACAAAGTGTATTTGTCTGCAAAGTGTTTGAATGCCTTGTGCTGCTCACTGAGTAGAAATAAGAAGTTAATATTACTGTGTAAAACAAAGAGAACATTCTGGTATGATATTTGCACAAATATCTCATTGTGTAAATTAATTAACTAAATTCAATGGAATTCAGTAATTAGCTTTTGAAAGCTGATATATTAGAATTGAAGCCAATGCTAACCATAACTAATCTTTGAATTTGACCAGAAATTCCACAACATGACATTGAAGGGTTGGTTTATAATTCACATTTAATGACAGACTAACACAGACACAATAAACCACCAAATTAATGTAGAGGTTAACTATAACGTAACATTTTAGGATATCTGGCTGAGGAGAGAGCAGGAACCAGCTATATACTTATTTTATATGGTCTCAAAAAACAAACCATTCAAAATGTGAAAAGATCCCTGTTTGAGAAATGACTGCTGTCTGTACCAATCCTTAAACCATCCTTACTCCTTTAAGGAGAGTATGTTTTATTATAATTGTTAAGAAGTTATTATTTCTGCTAAAGGCAGCAGCTTTGTATTAATTCAACTACTTCTCATAGAAATATGGATGGTAATGATTTAAACCAGCATAGGCCAATTATATATTTAACGTATAGTCTATTGGCTGAGTGGTGACTCTATGCAAATGTTTAAATGTCCTGTTCTAATTGTGCTCCGACACAATTTATTGTTTCACTTTCATTAAAAAAATCATGTCATATTCTTAAATTGGTAAAAAATAGTAATGGACGTTTCTTCTATTTGGTTGTTGGATTGAAACCACTGGTGATTCTTTTTTACTTCACTAGTTCAAGTGAATGTGATGCTCTAAATGGAGATTTTGTCCTTTTTGCGGAATACATTTTGATATTAATCTTAAAATAAATGTCACCACTGCTCAAAATGTATTGAATATTCATTGAGAAATAACAAAAAAAAGTAACTTAAAATTCCTATTTAAACCATCTTATCACCTATAAGACGATATTACTGCCTAGACATGACTTGAATTTAGGCACCGTAAAATGAGTACAGGAATTCCACGAGTCCATAATTAATGTCAAAAAAAGAATAAGCGATAACACTAAATATAAAATACTCCTTTGCTAATAGTTGAGCAATAACACAATGTGCCAAGAACTTTCAAGTATTGATTTTGTATATATATATATATTTTTTTATACTAATATAATGGGATTACTAATTTTATTTTGTTTGAGCACTAACATCTTTTCTGTTAATTGTCCTCATGAGAATAGAGAATTCAACACTGCACCATGACCAAGTACATGCACAGCTTGTTAGGTCACACTAAGTTTTGTTAGGTTAGTGTGTTGGCAAATAAACCTCTAAAATGATTCATAACAGCCTAAGCCTTGGTCTAATGCTCTCTATGACAGACCCTTTATTCCTCATAACATTGTATAAACGAGGCATTATGTAATATTCCCCCTCTGTGCTCATTCGTCAAAACCATGTCAGAATTATATCACACGTCGCCTGAACGCTGATTATATTTGCTTTGAACTCATCATTGTGAGCTCTCACATTCCCTTTACAAAAAGGATTGCTCGTTTAAGGGATTTGACCTGTAGACTGATAGCAATGTATGTCACACTGATTATGTTGTCCCTGTGTGGTTATATGACAATATGTCAAAGAAAGGTAAACACAATGACCAAGTAGGAATTGTTTAATTACATCTTAAAAGGTTTAGGTTCTCACCTGTGGTAGAAGTATAGCTAAGCTGAATCAGATTTGTTTATTGCGAAAAAGTTAATTAAATGAGAAGAGCTGCTAAAGTGGAGAAATAATAATTAAAGAGGGTGGGGTTTGTGTGTGTCACTCCCACCTTGGTGCCTGGCTGCCAGATTGTAGCAGCGAAATCCACACACTTAAGCCAGCCCACTTAAGCCAGCCCACTCAATGGGTATGAAGTGCAACGAGCTAATTAAGAGTAACAAGAAGACGGACTAGTTTAACCATGACCGACCAAATATAGAGGTAGGTATTTCGTCAGGAGGCTGGGATCACCTGACGTGTTTGCACCTGTGGTGGAAGTGACAGGATCTGTAATGACCACCAGAAACTGAGAAATGTGCAGGACACTTGTTGAAAGCCCTCATTGCTGTGTTTTTGTACAGGGGCCAACAGAATTAGTGCCTCCTGCTGGCCTTTCGTCAACACTACTAACACCATCTGGTCTCCTATCCAAAAGATAAACCAGGGGCAGCCTCGCTTAACTTCACAGACAATTAGTATCCTTGGTAACGCCTGTGTTTACCCTACTGTTTCATGTCAAAATTGCTGCTGTGAAAAAAAAGATCTATATTGAGGTCTTCCATATGCACCATGATGCCTGAACATACATCTTGATGCAAGCTGCTTTACGTGTGAAAGGACGACAAGCTTACGGCATTAAGCACCCGCATGTTTAACCAACATGCGTTTATAACAGTTTCCTGCCAGAAGACTTTCACAACCTCTTTTAGGCTTCAAATTGTAGCAATGCAGAGGATAGAATTAAAGGATGATGGGAATGGGTATCGTCATACATAGTATTATTAATTATACCAATTAATGGTTGTCTTCCATAGAAGCCAATCTGTCTGTAATTGCCAGTTTGCTTTTAGTGACAGTTTAGTGGTTTCTAAAAGCAATGATGGCTGCCTAAACAAAGTACTCTTTCTCAGTCAAGTTTCTCACTGGAACTATGGAACTGCAACTCGCGCTGAACCTGCAGCCTTTCCAGAATATCTCTGCTCCAACATTAGAGATGCAATGTGTTTGAGGTTGAATTAGTTGTCAGTATTCAGCTATTCTATAACTGCTTGGAAGAATGCTTGTATCATATGCATCTACTGTGTGAAGGAATAGCACTCATCTTATTAGAGAAATGCAAAACAAGCTGTTCTTTAAAATAATATTTTAAAAGTCTGTTTATTATCTGTTTAAAAGAGCTATATTCAACAGAATTTATTAATTGTTATCAAATATTAAACATGCATTGCAGGTAACTGCTACCAGATCATAGACAGTTTTGTTACATTTGCTAGAATAGAAATTACCATCTAATGCAAACTTTGACAACACAGATCAGAAATGACAAATGAGTGTTATATATTAGCTTTTTGGAAACGTTCTAGCTGCAGTGACACTTTGTATTTTGCTGCCTTAATAGTACCCTTACATAGAAACTGCCAGTACAGTATATGAATCTCTCCATATTGTGTTCATCTCTTTAACAAGTGTGCTAAAGTCTAGAGTGAAATGCATTTTAGTGACTAACAATGTAAAAGAGAGGAGAGTGTGAAGGAGAGGTCCCCCTCGCAGCACGTGGCAGAGCGCCTTTGATCCTGTTATTGGGTCATGGCCTTGGCTGCACTAGCACAGTTCTACTCTGAGCATAAGTAGGTTTGCTCTAAAATTAGATACTGATTCCCGACTCTTAACCCTTAACCAATGTCAGCCTGTCCCCCACCTGGACCCAAGTGAGACAAATCAAACTATTTCTAAAAATGAACTTATACCAGTAATTAGTTAGAAAAGCAACCTACTGTGAAACATTCAAGTCATTACACCCCGCCTAATTGGACAGGACAGACTTCCTGCTAATGTGTTGTAGTCATGTTGCAGGCTAGAGGGATTCCCCCTGGATTATTCATTGATTGTAGTTGGACCACTGGGAAGGAAGCTTGCTGCTAATCCCTCCCCCACAGTGGGGGGGTGTAATGTTAAGTGTTAGTGGCCTGGAAAATAATCGTACATTGGCTCCCCTCTCAGCAGTTGGTCATGTTTTGACGTTAAGAACAGAAGCCTTTTATTACAAAACCTCGGATCTTGGCCTTTCAAGATTAGCTCTATAAATTTAAAGTGACTGACTGAAAGCTTCTCCCTGTCCCTGTCAGGTTGTAGGAGAGACCCCGTGTGTGGTATTAGATGAAGCTCCATCCAGGTGTGAGAAGACTCCCGGAGAGGAGGAGGAGTCGGGGCTGCGAGTAACGCCCCAACCGGGCCTTAGCCCGACCCCCTCCCATCAGGAGGAACACACAGAGGAGCAGCACCTACAGTTTCTGGTGAGAGCGTCTATCTAATACTTATTCATCTTATATTTCATAATGACGCTGACATATAGTGTACATTCAAATCACACCCATGTAATGTGCCACTTTTGTGTTTTTTCTGTTAAATATTGCTTTCATAAGGACAAAACCACTAATGAAAGCAATTTGCAATATTATTCAACATAATCGAATAGAATGCATCAATTATTGTTGTTGCTTGTTGTTTCTGAAATTAGACGGTTAGTAATGCAGAGGGTTACTAAATGTCACTGGCTCAGCTTTCAAATCAGGCCTCTCCTCCAAACACTCATTCATGAGAGTCTTACACACCTCTTAGCAACAATAACTGCATATTGTGCCTGATTGCAGGTATCTAGCTTTGCTATGCACTTTGCATTTCCATGTAAAAGTGGAACTTGAATTCAGTGCTGTGACTTAGCTGACTGCAACTGAAGGAAAAACTATGGTCAGATTTGTTATGTAATGCTGGGATTATTTTGATCGTGTCCCTTGGAAACAGAACAGTAGCACATTGCCCTTGCTGATTGTACAAGTGGGTCTCATGGCTTAAATAGACCATATTCCCTCTCAGCTCTGTATTGACTGTCTGTCAGGGTGGAAAATTGTGATTTTAGACATGAATTGATGTTGTTTTGTTTATTTGGAGCTGATGACATTGTACATCACATCAGCATAAATAAAATAAAAAAAGCATACGATATCTAGAGAACGGATTACATAGTAGGAATAGTATCAGGAACAGGCTGCATGTGTCCCCACCCTTCACTGAGCCATGCATGTGCAATTATTGTGTTTTCATGATATTCATTTCTGTCCATTAAGAACAAATCTGCACTCCCCTTAGTTACTAATTGCTGGTAGTGCAGTTTTCTGATTGCTAGAAAAAGTCAGAATTAAGTGATGCTGCTTTTAAATTCTGTTCTCTAAAATGTATTTATTTGTACATGGTCCCCTTAAATGCATTATTTATGTAGACACAGCTTTCTCACTTTACGTCCTAACTAAAGCTGCAACATTCTGAAGGGAATGAGCCAGTTGTTTTAGTTAGATAGTGTTTTGCTACTCATTACATTGATCTGCACAAGGGAGTACCTGAATGTAATTGAGCTTTGTCTTTTTGGTTTAACAAGCAATATGTGGAAATAGCTTTAATGTAGGTTGAAGGTTTTTATCCTTCATCCATCATAGACTAACTTGCTATCTTTCATAAAGCATGACTGAGTCATGGCAAAAAAGTGGGATCTTAAAGAGTAGAATATCTTAGATAGGTTAAAGGACTTACAGATGTAGGACAGAGCAGACACACACGTGATATTTTTAACCACGCTAACAACATTGGTCAGTCCAGACTTAAATATCTCAACAGCTGTGGGGAGGATTTCCATGAAATTTGATATAGACATTCATGGTGCCCAGAGGAGGATTTGTAGCAACTTTAGTGATCCCTTCACTTTTAATCACCATCATCAGGTCAAAATCTCTATTTGCCCAAAAGTTTACCTGCAGAACTAATGCCATTCCCATCAGCCTTAGCTGTACTTTGTGTTTAGTGTTAATTAGCAAATGTAAGCATGCTAACATACTAAACTAGGATCGTCAACATACATTGATACATGCTAAACATTACAGTGTTGCAGCATTGTCATAGCATTGACTTAGCATTTAGCTCAGAGCACCAGAACAGCCTCACAGAGCATGGCTGAAGACTTTTTCTTTTTTATTTATAGAAACGAAAAAATATAACCGCCATGTTAATGGCACCGGTTTGACCTACGCTATTGAGCTTTTCAAACAAAATGTATTTGGACCCACAGCAAACGAACAGTTCAGTGACAGTGTCTGATTGTGCAGCTGACGGTACATTTAAGTTCCAATCAGTGGAGGAAGTCATGATTGGACTATACAACACAGCATTCTCTCTCAGTATGCATTATTCAGGCCTTTAAAGCTGTGACTGATACACAATCAAGCAAATCAGAGCACAGATTGCAGTTTAATTATGGTTATTGTCTTGCTGTGTCATCACTGGTGAGAGTACAGTATCTCTTCCAGTCGGCTGCTGGTGGTCTTTAATTAGCCTGTCTGTTGTGTAGCCTCCCCCCACACACTCACAGTGGTAATACTTGATTGAGGTCCTGTGGCCATGCTGAAATAAGCTGATTTCTCCTATGCTGGTCCTGCATGTAAGCTGCATTTAGAATAATTAAAGGATGCTAAGCTTTGTAATACCTCATTGCTATCGTGTCGGAGGTCAATATGGAACCTAAACCCAATGTATTCTGCATTGCAAACTATAAATGCAGTCATTACAGATAATTTTCCATGATTTTGCTCTTATACAGTATATCATGCTCTTTGTTTAGAACCATACGAATCAGATGTAGTTTTGCAGCTATATTAGATGTCAGAATAAGGATTTAGTGTCTTTGCTTTGTTCTCATTGTCGGTTCAGGAAAGTGAGCTGTGCAAGAAGAGAAAAGAATGTGAAAACCTTGAGCATGAAGTAAAGAAGCGACAGAAGAGATGTCTGGATTTGGTAAGCAATCCTCCCTCTCCAGTGTTTCTTTCTCACATGCTCTCTGGCGTGGCATGGATTTCCTCAGATTTATCTGAATGTTGTCGTGTGGTCTGGTAACAGGAGAGCCAGCTTGAGGATGAGCGAGGCAAAAATGAGCAACTAAAGGAGGAGGCAGATCTCCTCAGGAGGAAGGCACAGCTGCTCGACCAGGTCAGTGTCTCTCTGTCGAGCTCCTTTATTTTTTCCCCCATAATGTGGATCTTAGTTTCATAGTTTTAGCAATATAGCTGTCAGTTGAGATCATGTTTTACTCACCAACTCAATGCTGAGATCTGGGGATGCAGTGACATCACTAGAAAGGAGCTCAGTAAGTCAAGCCAGACAAGTGTTCTGATAATCAGAGGTTGTAAAAGACTTAATTTTCACATAGTTGTGGATTAAAATCTCACAATAACCATTAGGGAATATAACCAAAACTATGAAACGATCCAGTCAGCTAATCTGCTGTTGTTTTTCCAGACTCGGGCTGAGAATGAGGAGCTGAGGGAAGATCTCTCTGAAGTGACCGCTCAACACAAGTCAGTTCTCGAGGAGAACCAGAGACTCCGTGCCAAACTGGAGAACCTAGAGCAGGTCCTAAAGGTACTGCTGGGGGTCAGATACTATGTTATCTTAAATTTCATTCTTTACCGTACCACTTGAATAATTGCCTTCTTTCTGAACAGCATATGCGAGAGGTCGCCGAGCGAAGGCAGCAGCTGGAATTGGAACATGAGCAGGCACTGGCTATCCTTAAGTTCAAACAGGATGAAATCAAACGGTTACAGCGGGTAAGAACCACAGGTTCTTGTACATATTTGCTTTAAGTCTAATTCTGGGAAATGGGGGGCTTTGTCCAGCAGGAGGCAACCTTTGGGCACCAATAAAACATCAGGTTTTGTCAGCGGAGCTCACTGTGCTGTGAATTAGACTTTTATGAGCAAACAGTCTACAGTTCACTGACTTTAATGTCTTTTTAATCGTCAGGCTCAGTTATTCGCCAAGAGGGAGCATGAGGGAGTGGTTCAGATGCTGGAGGTGAGTGTGTATTAACGCCACTGTGAGTACTCAGCAAAGAAGAAAAGCAAATTTGTATCCCATGTAGTGCTTTTATAACCCCACAGTAAAACCCTGATTTTTTTTTTTCAAGAATTTAGGATGACTAACCAAAGCAAAAATCAAATGTGCCAGTGTTTATTACAGTCACACAAGAGAGCGGAACTTAATTCACTAAGCCCCAACATTAGAGAGAGGAGGAGTGTTATTCGAACTTCCTCAGTGTTTTTCTGTGCACTACATATTCTTGTCTTACGAGATAAAATCAAATTTATTATTGAAGAAGGTGTGTCTTATCTCCAACACTAAGCAAAAAGAGCATAAATATTGAATTATTTCCCTGTTCCTAGCAGACAAAAGACCCAAGTAGCATGGACATACAGTTCAATGGGCTCTTTATTCTTATCTAAACACCTGGCAGAGAAGCTGTGGCAAAAAATACTTGTTCTCATATTTTTGTAGCACTCATGGGCCCCGAAAACCGTTTGAACAGATGGCTTCTCCGCTGCCATGTGACGTTTATACTTGGTCTCAGTGTGAGTGTAACACACGTTGAATTCAAAATGAATCCAGACAGTCGATGACAGTTGAAGTCCCCATCTGTCTGATTGGCTGTTAGTTTTAAATGATGAAAAAAAACTTCTGAGCCTGCAACAAAACTTCAAATACTTCATTATCTACAGCTGATGACTGTATATGTGTGCTGTCTGTGCTCCGTTTTTCACACTGTACATTTCGTTACATGAGTTTGTTCCTAAATGAAGTGTATATTTTATTTTAGGAGTTGACTCAGCTTGTGTTGCGGAGGGAGCTGGTAGAGTATAGTTTGCTCCTGTTTTTTTTTAAAAATGCCCATTTCCTTCCTCTTGCTTTGTTTCTCTTACTTTCTGTCTCTTTATTTAAACCCGAAGCATCACAGGAGAAAGTCTCTTTCCCTTCTGAAACCCTGAGCTTTGTTGCCATGTCAACAACCTGCCTTTTGCAACCTGTTAAAAACAACTGTTTTTGAAAGATTAAAGAGAATATTTGTGTTCATTCAAAAGGCAGGTGTTGGTTGCTGAGGGGCCAAGACACAGCCTAGTGATTCTGGCTCCTGACAGGATTTTCTTGCCGACCTATTCTCAGACTGCAGTGTTTCTAATCTATTAATTTGTTTTGTCTTTGGCAGATTCATTGTTTCACAAGCATGTGTTTACTTCTGTATACCTTTTTTGTCCTTTGTGTTGTCTTTTTGCTAACCAGAGTACACTGGACTGCATGCAGGTACTGTTAACATTTAGCCTGCTTTACCTTCTGGGCCAAATTATTTATCTTCCTGTCACAAAACGTTCCCTAGCTCCTGTAGATAGACTCACCAAACCCCAGTCACTTTGATTTGAACCCTCCCAAGTTGAAAGAATGTACCCAGGTTTCTACCTCATTTGTGTTTTATACATACATTGAAAGCAACAACACTGCGGAAATTACTGTAAAACAGTCTTTCATAAACGCTCCATGTGGCCACGAGGCCCATTTGATGCTGATACATGTTTTTAGGTTACCAAAGTGTGTGTAAATCAGGTCATTCAGCAGTACAGTTGCACTGAGCACACTTATCGTGCTTATCGTGCTGGCTTGTTTATTTGATCTTATTATATTGAGGTAGAATCATACCCCACACATCACTGAGTCGCATTGCTGTTTGTAAATGAGTATTCATTTGAGCTCAGTGTAGCCAGATAACGACTGACTGTAGACTGCGTAGGTGAGAGCTGACAGGAAATGTTGTTTCATGCAGTTTCGTGCAAAGGCTTTTGTCAGATCAGCCTGCCAGGAAACTCCCACCGCAACCTGAAGTGAAATCAACCACATATAGAAACTCAGTAGGGCTACGACAGACCTCTGTAGTGTTCTGGCAAATAACCCTTGTGTTTAGTGGCTTTATTAAAGTGAATGCAGTGTAAGACAGAAGCACAACATATAACTTCAAAACTTATGCTACTCCTGTTTCCCATCTTACCAGAGAACTGCCCGCCTTTATTTCCCTCCCTTTTTCTTTCCACTGAACCTGTAGTTCTTGAAGCTTATAACAAATGTTTCACGGACAGTGTGCAGTATATTGTTTTGATGTAACCTTATATTGCAATACTTCATTTTGTAATGTATAATTTATACCTCATGGAAGCAGCAATGTATTATATGTTTGCCATATTGTGTTGTTCCATCTGTCAATCCACCAAAATAATCAGATCAGATGAAAAAAAAGAAAGTTTTCCATAGTTACTAAGTAAGTGGCTGTATAGGCATAAAAGGTCTCTGCATGACACTGAGAAATTAGAGAGAAGGTTACTTTTACATACAGGGTCCTATTTTAAACCGTGCAACGACACGCACAGAGCTGTGGGTGCACGGACTGTGTGGGTATCTCCAAGTGCACCTACTATTATAAGGGCTGGGTGAAGGTAAATAGAGATGTGAGAGTGTGGGGATTAATAAATATACTCTAAGCCAGTCACATCACTGTGCCAATCACAGTGGCGCATGATGACAAAAGCTCAACATTACGCTGTAGTCTTGGTGCTGAGCGGGATGATGTGAACACACAGCACCACATATCTGCAGCTAGAGGCAGATGGTGTCGCGGGCGGGCGGGCAAAACAAATTTCAGGGGTCAAAAAAATATCAAGCGGATGGAGCACTGGCTGCACTGGTCGTTGCGCTGTGACAAAAATAGGGCCCATATAGGGTTAGATCCCTCCACATTCTTGATGTGTTACAATAAAACACTCAAAATTAACTTAAGCACAAATCCACCTTAAAACACACGCTCCTGTGTTTAAACACTACTTTGCCAACCTATTAAGCAAAGCTTACCTCACTTGCTTGTTTGTTTTTAAAAGCACATAGTAAATTATAACACTTGAAATGTATTGATTATTACAAATTGCTGATACCCCATATAATGCTGTTGAAAGGTGGATTCTCCCATTTAAAGTCAAATAGTTAAAAACTGTGTTTTTACTGTACGTGTGTTTCCTCTGTCTCTTACACCATATGTGTAGTCAAAGGTACGAGATCTGGAGGAGAAATGTCGCAGCCAGAGTGAACAGTTTGGCTTGCTGTCCCAAGAGTTGGAGAAGTTTCGACTGCAGGCCTCCAAGGTGGACCTGGCCGGCTCTAGCCTCCTTAACAATCCCAGCCTCTCTGTTCTGACCAATGGGGTGGGCCTGACTACTGAACGAGGTGAGCCCCGCCACCATGACATGAACTTGCACCCAAAAATACAACCTATACAGTCAAGAGAATATCAGTTGTTGAGGGTTTTTACTACTAATAGATTCTTTACTACAAATAGCTTCTTTGTGCTTTTTCTTGTATAACAGTTAGTGCTTTAAAGAGTATTTAAAAACTAGGTGAAAAAAGCAGATTGCTTTGGTTAATTTATAATATTACAGAATGCTTACCTGCATATAACTGCATATTAGCAGTAAATGAATGGTGTCAGCTTCCCCTGATTGATGACTCTTAGAACCAAGAAATAACAACAATGTGCCTTTCAGAGTCTTTTTTCACTATAATAATCTAATAGTTATTGTTATTTTTGTCTCACCATTATAATTGTGTTCTTGTATTCTTTCAGTTTCAAATGACGTCTTATCATAAGAACGAGGAATTGAGTCCTGACACAAAGCATGGCTTTGAAAATGTAGACCAATAGCACCAGTTCACTCATGGACCAAATGCCTTTAAAAGCATCCAAATCCATTTTTAAACTGTCCCATCAGCTTCCAGCTTCCAGCTTTCAGCTTTTAGCATAGGGATTTTTCATTATTGACTTTGCAGTTTCTTCTTAGTAAAGTCACAGCCACAACAGTGCAAATCTAGTCCACATCTTTCCTACTGTATGTATCCAACCTTTTTCTCCTACACTGTCCATGTGTTTTAGACTGCACTGGTGGCTCATGGGATATGGTGTCTCTGGGTGAAATAGCCTTCTGGAGTCTCGAGGGAGGTGACACTCTCTCCTGCCCTGAGGGTAATGAGCCGCTCGGTTTCTGTCTCTGTTACTCATGATATGTGTTGGGCACTGTCACAAAAGCATGGCATGTTTTAACCTGTCATCCCACCCTCACTGTCACAGTCCAGCGCTGTAACAGAGCTTGTCTGTACTGCTCACCATCACATGAGGGTCGGTGCTCGCGCGCCGCGGTGAGAAACAAACCAGTTAAGCCCCTTAACAGTGCTGGTGTGACACACGTTGCCACAAGGTGGTGTGACCTCTGACCTCAGACAGATGGAGACAGGATTTTTTCCTCCACTGTTTAATCAGCCAGGTTCAACCTTGAGCCTCCTGCATGTCAAGCAGAGACCTCACCCACCTAGCTGCTCATGGATTCAGCCGGGTTAACCAGCGAGAGGGCTGGGGTTTTCTGTTAAAGTCATGGATTAGGTATTATCCTCTTGCTGTCTCTCTCCTTTTAGATGTGACCGCTGCTCTGCGGATGGGGGCCACCCCTCACGCCGCCGGGCTGTCCAGGGTGGAGCGATCGCCAGTCACTAAGCACAGAGAGCTGCCCACCATCAGCGTCAGCAAGTCAGGCTCCTCCTCCAGCAAGTCAGAGACCGCACACCTCACCCCGAGGTCCGACACCCACCTCAGTCCGCACAAATCAAGCCCAACACATGAGGTACCAGCCCAGGATGTACAGTGCATCACTTGCTACTCATTTTATAATTAATACGTTACTTTACTCATTATTTATTAGGGGCAACACACATTAATTAACATCAATATGTGTCATTTTCAGACAAAATCCTTTTATCTGCTGCCCCTGTGCAGGTTGATGTTATGCATTAATAAACAAACCTGAAATCCAAAAAGTAGACAAAACGACAAATCAGATTGTTAGTTTTTAATTGAATTTTGATCCCCCAGGAGCAGACACTGTCACTGTGGTGTTACTCAGATTCAAATTGAAATGGTAATTTGCTGCTAAAAAAATTATATTATATTGACTTTATTGCAGTGCATTAATAATGTTTTACGACACAGCGCTGACTGTGATTAAATATAGTTATTACTACTTTTAGTGAAATTTAATGCACTAATTAGTCAGTGTGCATATCACTGATTAATAAGTGCATTCAATTTATGTCACATGGGGTATATTTTGCATGTCAGGCGAAGAAATAATGGTAATTCTGGCCAAAACCCAAGAGTATATGCTACCTCTCACTACATAATACAGATGGTTTGTTACACAGGAAGTCGATGTTGGAAGCTTTGTAAAAGGGCAGGCACTTTTAAAAAATGCTTTGCAGGTGATTGGATGAGCCATCTGTCTTTCACAGACCAGATCAACGAACAATACAACGTAGTCACACTCTTACCGAAGCCAATCGGGAGAAGAGCATCTTTTCCATCAAGAAATACCTTCAGTGCTGTTCTTTGCTCTTCTTTCCAGCCACTGTTGTTTTCGAGCAAACACTCACTAGTCATTCGTCGTGCCGTAGCTGCCAGTAGGGCCTTATAGGAAGCTGATTGGTCCGAACCACTATGGTTGGACACAGGGGCATAGCACGAGTCCAGCTGCCTCACAAGCTATTTTTATATATATTTGAAACCTGAGTCAAATGGCTACTACATTTGAAAGCTGCTAGCCAACCTTAATATCTGCGAGACAAAATGGTTTTCTCTTTAGTTAGTGATAATTTGAAGCGCTGGTTGTAGATTTGTAATAATGCTCCCTTTTTCACCCAGGTTATATCATTGTGCAGAACACCTGCCTGCAGTTCTTCTGCTTTCTTTGTTTCTACATAGACAGGCAGATTGCTCATCAAGATTACCAAGACGGCCATGCATGATCACATTGTGTGGATTTAATGGATTAAAAAGCCCTCTTTAACCTCTCTGTCATCTCACGCGAGTGCAGACTGTTGCTGAATATGCTAGAGCTCCCTCTGCTCATTCATAAAAGACGTTTTTTTTGGATCGGCCGCCATGTTTTAGTATTTTTGTTGTGCCATGTCTCCAAAAGAGTTAGTGTCTGGTCTCGCATGACAGACAGGTTGGTGGTCTTTTCATCTAGTCACTCGTCTGCACACAGTTCAATAAAGGTCATATTTAGTGAGATAATCCACTCTCCACTGTGGATTATGAAGGTTATACAGTAGTAGTTGTGATTATCTTTAAAAAGGTTTTCTCCAGAGAGCTATAAATATACAGTGTAACCGCTATGAATGGGAATCAAACTCCAAATCAGGTATCGAGGTGATTCTCTACTTACTAGTAACTCCCTATAAGAAGAATATTGTACACAGCATTTTCACATGAGAAGTAATGTATCGTAGCTAATAACTAGCTTTGTATTTACAGTAAATAGATTTTGGAGAAGCCATCCTTTCCCCAGAAAATATGTGAAACATATGTGAGAAATATTAAGTTGCACTGAAGAAAACACCCACCTTATTAAGAATATGCTGTTTCACAGCCATTTCACAACATTTCGTCTACTTCTGGTTTATGTGGATTTACTGTGTTAAAATAATAAAATAATTTTTTTACATACCTCTTTTCAATTAGTTTTTTCAGACTAGTGCAAGCAGTTTTAGGCGAGGCAATTCACCCTGTGTCCGTGGTGTTCTCAGGTGGACACTGCCAGTGAAGTGGAGGAGCTGGACATCGATGTAGCCCCGGCACCTTACACAGCCAGCAGAGGAGCAGCAAAGCTTCAGGTCTTCATTGCAAGATATAGGTAAGTATTAAACTAAGGCTAAGAATTAACTCACTATGTCAACAGTTTCCTAATATGTGCTGAAAATAACTTTTAACTAACATTTTTACAGCTATAATCCATATGATGGCCCCAATGACAACCCTGAAGTGGAGCTCCCACTCACTGCTGGAGAATATATCTATGTGTATGGAGACATGGATGATGATGGCTTCTATGAAGGTAGGTCTGGAGTGTAAACTGTTGCATTTACAGTTTAATATTTCTGTCTTTACCTGGTATTCAGTGTTCTGCTGTGGCTCCTTACAGGTGAGCTAATGGATGGACGGAGAGGGCTGGTCCCCTCTAACTTTGTGGAACGCGTATCGGACGACGATGTCATGAGCACTCACCATCCAGAGACAGGGGACATATCCCATAACTCCCTGCTAGACAGCAGTCTGCACAGTGCCAGCCACCAGCATCACCTCCACATGGGCGTCAGCGCCTCAGAAAGGACAGAGGTTTCTGCCGCCTCTGGCCCTGCCTCAGCCCCCTCAGATTCAGCATCGGCCTTGGCTGTCCCAGCCCCCCTCACCAACGGCCTGGACTTGGATTTGGAGGAGGTGGGAGTGGACATTGTGCCTTACCCACGTAAGCTCACCCTCATCAAGCAGCTTGCCAAGAGCATCATCATCGGCTGGGACCCTCCGTTGGTGCCGGCTGGGTGGGGCAATGTGTGGAGCTATAATGTGTATGTGGACCAGGAGCTGCGGCTCAATGTGCCCTTCGGTTCTCAGACCAAAGCGGTGCTGGAGCGGCTCGACATAAACCTCAAGGCCTACCGTGTGTCAGTGCAAAGCCTGACAGAGAAGGGCCTCTCAGACCAGCTGCGCTGCAGCTTGCTGGTTGGTCGGGATGTTTGTGTGGCGCCCACGCAGCTGCGCGTGGAGAGGATCACCGCCACCTCTGCCAACCTGACCTGGCTGTCCAGCAACAGTAACTATGTGCACATTGTGTCCTTGAATGATGAGGAGTGTGAGCTGGTGAAGGCTGGCTGCTACTCGCTGTGCCTCAATAACCTCTTGCCCAGCCTGCAGTACACTGTCAAAGTGGAGGCACGGCCGCACCGCACGCCATGGGAGTTACCTGTGGAGCGGCGTGAACACAGAAGCGCTACAATCACCTTCACCACACTGATGGCAGGTCAGGATTTAGAATTTTATCTGTGTTCTTTCAAGATACACTACAATTTTTCCTTATTCAGAATGAAATCATATCAAACATTTAAGTTGGACAAGAGTAGTAGCTCAGTCTGCCTCAAATGTTTGATCCAGAATTCACAGACATCTCAGATGATTAGATTCTCTGAACTTCAATCAACTTAAAATGCATTCAAGTCATTTTATTTTCGTGTATAAGCTCTGTTGTTTGTGTGTATGTGTGTAAGAAAGAGAGCCGAGATCCTATTCAGAAGCTTTCAAAGCTTTGTGTGGATAATATGATGAGCGATTTCCTGGAGAGATTTGTAATTCTAACAATTTGCACACGTGGCTATGGTGTTTGGTGATTTTATAGACAGTAGCACTGCTCGTCGGGATTGTTGAGGCGGTCACTTCCACCATTAATGTGAGGGACTGTCTGTAGGCGACCTCTCTCAAAGACAAACGCACCTCTTAAATTAGAACAACACACTTTCATATTAACTCAATGTGTCCAAATTAAGATGTTTTATATTCAGTAGTGGTGATTCTGTACCTCCCACACAAGGACATCAGTTTATTCATGAGAGTTGCTTTTGTGCTACTCTGACGTGCCTCTATTTTATTAAATAGCCAAAGCACCTTGGCCCAGAATGCATTTCTTCAAAGGGAAGGAAAATATGTGACTCGATTGGCCATGACAGGTGCCATCCTCTACCACACCTACTGATCAAATATTCCTACTCATGACATGATTTTGAGAGAAGTAGGGTTCTTTTATCTTGGCAAGTTGGTCTTTCCTTCATCTTGAAGTGCACTTTTGCCTTTTTTTGGACATTTTACTACCTGGAGCGGAGGCTCAATGAATTAGAAATCCATGTAAATGAGGAAGCTCCGCGTTGAGTTTTTGATCGCAAACATCATTTGATGTCATTTTGTGGTACCGCATTGCTATTCTGCTCCTCCCAGTTGAAAATCATTCATAATTTTCATGAATAAACCGTAGGCCTGTAAGATGCATACTTGTGATGAGTGTCATATTAGATTTGAGTTGTATTTCTCTAAATGATCATTCAAATTTGCTTTTGCTCAAAGTTTCATGCCCACAGTCTGGGAACCCAGGTATATGGTTTCTAAATTTCTTAAGTAGTATTAGATTTTTTTCTTGGTAGAATCTTGTGCCCATTGTGATAATTATTTCTTATCCCAAGCCTTGTTTTGTTTTCATCATTGAGTGAATATTGATGTATATTATATTATTATTATAACATTATATACTATATTAATATGAAAACATTTCTCACCTTGTGCCTGCCACTGGCTGTGGTATGATGCTTTCAATTCCTACAGGTCCCCCTGATGCTCCTCTGGATGTACAGCTGGAGCACGGTCCCTCCCCGGGGATTGCCCTCATCAGCTGGCTGCCAGTCACAATAGATGCGGCAGGGACCTCCAACGGAGTCCGTGTCACTGGATACACTATATATGCTGACAAGAAAAAGGCAAGAATGTGGAATTTTCTGTGGGACTTTCCTTTCAACCAAGCAATTTGTTATTGTTTAATTTCAGTGTATATCTATCTTTCTATGGGATTTTGTAAGCCGGCATACGGTTTTATGATGTCCATGTGACATGGCCATTTTAAAAACACACCTGTCGTTCTCCTATCCAAGGTGCTGGAGGTGTCTTCCCCAACAGCCGGCAGTGCCCTGCTGGGCCCCTCTCAGATCCAGTCCCTGCAGGCAGCTCAGGAGCTCACTGTCCGCACCATGTCCGCCCATGGGGAGTCCTGTGACTCTTTTCCAGTCAATGTGCCCTCCAAGCTGGCCACCATCATGGCAGGTCCAGCTATCACCACCCCAGTTGTGCCACCCCTACCCTGCACCCCTGCAGAATCCAGTAACCTGCCCTCACCACTGTCCTACGGGAACTCTGCTGCCAAAGTCTCCATGCTGCCCAGCAGTTTGCCATCAGACACACACATCGCTGGCCTCACAGTGGAGGTTGCTGCCAACTCTCCTCATGCTCTCCACTCAGAAGGTCTTCTCTCATCTGCCTCATATGTGCAGGCCTGGGCCAACCCCTCGTCTGGTGCTGCCTTGGCTGTGTGTGAGGCCACACTACCAGTAGCCTCGACCATTACTCCAGTGGTAATCCTCCCTCTGCCATCTTTGCACATATAAGAGGCCACAACTTGTTTATTTTTCTAGATCAGAGGTTTTCAAACTGTGAGGTATTCACTCCAGGGGGGAGTGGGAGAGTTTAAGTGAGGACACTGAGGGAGAGATTTGAGGCAAAGGTAGTTCATGAGGTGAGAGGGAGGGTGCGTTTTGGTGTATTAAAAAGAACAACAAGTTAAGTATTGTAGATTGGTGAGCTTATCAACACAGGCTGTGACATACAGCTCATGGAGCCAATTAATGTACTCTGGGCCCTGAGTCACACGTTTGCATCAAAATTCAATCTTTTTCTGAGTAACAACCCAGTGAAATATTACTCTTTCTGTGGATATCGTGGATATTGCCAATCGCAAACAAACTTCCGTAAAGCTGCTCAGAAATAATAGTTTTTTTCAGTTTTGTCTAATGGGGGGCCCACATTGTCAGACTGTTTTTGAAGTTAATTAGATAGTGTTGTATTGACAGTCTCTCTCATCTTCAGGTTAACGTGACCTCCCCCACCAGCTCAGCACCTCAACCATCCCCAGTAGCATCACCAGCACCTACACAATCACTAGTGACGGCAGCAGCGACAGCAGTGTTGGAGCAGCGCAGAGACACAGACAGCCCTGGATCAATACGTCCTTTCCCATCTATCACAGAGTTCATTGAGGAGTCCAGTGCCAAGCTCAGGACACCTGAGCGCATCCCTTCCCCACCCAAAGCCCCGATCACAGAACTCCTTAACCCTCAGGGCACTAACCTCCTCCAGCCCCCCTGCACTTCACCGCTGGAGTCCGAGGTAGAGGAGGAGCGAGAGAACACCCGCTTGGTGTCCATTGAGGAGTTCTTGAGACAGGACCAAGAGCCAGCATACTGTAGGACACAGCAGGTCAGCCCCAATTTTTGACACCTACTTACTATTTGAAAGAGTTTAGAATGCCACAAAGATGTATACAGCACGTAGGCGTAGATGAGTCAGTTTTAAGCCTATAAATAAAGTGAGATTGTTGGAGGAGTTTCAGTCAGCGCCATCAGAGCTGAACATTTCCTGCCGGTTTTCCAGGTTAATTACATGAATTATATCATTAGGAATGATGAAAAAATGCTGCTGGGAAATACTGAAACTGTGAAATAATAATAAAACATTCTAGACCATGTTGTCCCTACTGCTGTGGTATTAAAATATGTGGTCTTATAAAGTTGAGATGAACCCTGCAGACACTCTGATTAAATATACTTGTTTAGTTGATAAGTATATTTCAAAAGTATATGCCTTGGGACAAAGCCAGAAGACCGTACAAAGCCCAGCCATGTTCTATATTTAATTCTGCAGTATAGCTTTGTTTATAGATAGATATACTTTATTAATCCCAAGCTGGGAAATTACAGCTTAATTAATGTGTGCATTAGTATCAGCAACATGTTATTGGTTAACTTGCAGATTTATTTATTTAGCTCAATATTCAATGGAATGACTAATGAGGATATGAAATGTACATTTCTTTGCAGAGTTATGGCAGAGGGCTTGTGGAGCCTTCCAGTGACCAGTACCATGCAGACAACAGTCGTTCCGATCTGTCTGACATCCTGGAGGAGGAAGAGGAGGATCTTTACTCTGACCACCTCGGTGAAGCACAGGGCAGAGGCTACCACGTTGGAGCTAACAGGGTAAAGGAATGAGTGCACTACATATTTTCTAGCTATATGTAATGTACCCACATTTGCACAGGCACTGTGGGATTAGTTTGATTCAGTATGCTTCTTTCAGTTTGTCTTGTCAGTGTCCTCGTTTCTCAGTCATATTTTTGATCATGCATGATTGAGATTGTTTTTGTTTTTTCTTCCTCTTTCTTTTCTCTTTCCTCTGCATCACCGGGTTGTCCTTTGTTTTGTCTGCACTTCCCTTATTTTCACTGAACAATATGATATCCCATTGCCACCAACCCATTCTTACTCGCTTTGACCTGTGGCCCTTGTAGTCACGCAAGTTGGAGACCCCAGACAGTGATGAAGACGTTCTTGAGAGGATTCTAAAGTTGCCTCCTCAGGTCTGCCACAACAAGCAGCTGTTCATCATTCCTGAGGTGACAGAGGAGGAAGATAGCAGTCAGGAAGAGCATTACACCCACAGTCAGCCTCGACCCAGGTCCAGCCACGTTCACCCCAGAGACTCAGAACGCCTCCATCATGCCCCCCAGCACCACTCACATCACCCCAACCCACACGCTCCCCCTCACCATCACCACTACAACAGGGATCCCAGATCTCTTACCAAAGAGCCTTTACTCAGGCACGGACCCTTGCAGGTCAAGCCTAAGACACAGCATAGGGTGCACTACGCAGACACAGTTGACACCATCAGTTACCCTGAAGAAGAAGACATGAGTTTATATGAGGGTCGCACCAGCAGGCGGGTCTCGGTCCGCTGTCCTCCCCAGCCGACCCCCAACAGCAAAGAAAGAGTACTGCTCAGAGGGCTAGGGGACCGCCTTAGGAGGGAGGCCATGCTCAGGAGTCAGATGGCTGTTGCCGCGGCAGCCAACCCCGGCTATGGTCTTACCCCGCCAAGACCCTACCCAGTCAGCAAAACAGTACGGTCACCTGTCAGTCGCGGGGTGGAGATTGACGTAGAGTACGGCACAGATGACAACGAGGAGCCCGTGGAGTACGGTCCCAGGGAGGTGGTGACGGAGCAGATGAGCTCTGAGTGGTGGGTAGAGGGGGCTCAAATGGAGCCCTGCAGACCTCTTCACCGCCGAGGGCTGAAGGCCGATCCACTGGTAAATGTTGCTGCAGGCCAGCTGCAACGGGTGCGTTGTCCTGCTCCCTCCTCCTCCCCGTAGCAGTGTGGCTCTAACCCTCTGAGTCCTTTAGTGGATATCACTTAACTCCATTGCTCACTAGATCTACGTTTCCATCATCCTCACTGCAGTGGACAGAGGGAGGTTAGGTGGTACATTTTATGGCACATTTTGTGAGTACAATATACAGTATTTTATTTAATGATGGCACATTATTCGAGTTGCCAAGATGTGGCCATAAAGTGGCTGCAACAAGTTTAAACCAGTCCATTATCACCCAGTGGCTCCAGACTTGTAATCTGCATAAGATTTTGTGTCAGCCAAAATGAATCTGAATCTGTTCTCCCTCTGTCTGACTGCACCTTGGAAACCATTCAGCGCTTATCTTAAACTAGTACTTGTCATGCATTAGCTTACAGTGGATGTGCTTTGGTCTGTGTCTGCACCACCACCACAAAACAAAAAAGGAACATATGTATGTTGAATCAGTAGAAGGATAGAAACCCCTGGGTTTTTTTTGTTTTTGATGAGATTTCCATCTTTACTGACATGACAAGTAACTCAGATGGACTAGCATTAGCTTAAGCATAGATTATTGTTTTAAAAAATTAACAGGTGCATTTGCTGTTAATTTTTTCTGACCCCTGAGGTGTCCTCTCCTCCCCAGTAGTGAATGTGTTTCTGTATTACACGTTTGTCTTATTGTCTTGTTTCTTTTTCTGTATGTTAAGCAGGACTCCAGCCAAATCCCTCCAGCTGATGCAGGTCCGTCGTGGGGAGCCCAGGCTGAGCTTTCTTCTAAACCAGCATGCTTGCATGCCAGGCAACTCAAAGGTCAGAGACTCTTTCCTCTTTTGTTTTCCTGGTTTCCTCTTACTAAAACATGCAGTGGAAATGTATGCTGCGACGCTGAAAACACCTGTGCTTTCTGTTGGCAGTTCTCACACATGATGGTAGTCAGATTAGCACCTTGTGTAGGATGGGAGGGAGGGGAGAGGGTCAGGGAGGAGGAGGTGCTATAGTTGCAGTTGAAGAAGAGGGAGAGAGCCTGCTAAGCTGAGAACCGGCTTAACCCAAAGTGGCTTGTCATGACAGGAGGAAGTGACAGACATTAAAATAGTAACCTCGATTAGCCAGCAAAGAAACGGCCTGCAGTGTGGACGTTTGAGCCCCCTCTCATCATCTTCTCCCGCTCTCTTCTTTTTCTTCTCAGTTCCTGTTGTGATGACACAGGCCGCGCACTCATTCAGTAAACCTGACCTTTCTGGTATATGCGTGGGTGCACAGTTGACTACACACACAAATGCATAAGTGTACACGTGCGCATAGATAGAGGAAGGGAGCAGTGAGAAGTTCTGTCCTATCTACTAGAATATCAGTGAGGATGTGAAAGTGTGCAAGTTGTCTGCCCGTGACTTTTGCCACAGATGGGCTGATTCTCCCTAATGAGATAGAGAACACGTCTCTTCGGTGCAGCTTAAAGTCTCGCGCTCTTCAAATGTGTCGCTCGTAGTCGAATAGGCGACAGATGTAATTTCAGCCACACCGGTGTCATAACTATTGTTGTTTAGACAGTGCTTTAAGTCAAATTTAATGGCTGCTTTGCATGACATTCCACCTTCTTTTTGTATGTAAGCTTGTGTGTCGTCATTAAACGTCCTCAGATTTAGATTAGAGAGTGGGTCAAACACTGTTTCCCCCGTGGCTTGCTTGCTGCAGATCATGAACGGGTGCACGTTTGTCAAACGGCTCACACAGCTTAGGATCAGTGGTTTAGCTTGATTACCTCTTTTAAGGACATGCCTGTGCTCGGCGAACACTGCTCAGAGAGGCACTGCAGTTGGTGGGCAGTGGGGGAGGGGCATGCTGGCTGTACTGTTTGTAGAACTCATTGCAAGCTATGCATGGCTTGTGTGCAAAGTAGTGTAATAGTAGTGACAATAAAAATATTCTAAAGACAAAGTTTACAAAGCAAAAGAAAAATGAATTGCATTAAGGCAAAATCTTATATAGAACAATGCATACATGAACACAAAGATTTATATATTCTTATTTGTTTTAAGCAACAAGTCAGACTTCTTAAACCCATAGAAATACTTTCAAGAGGTTACTCATTTTGTGCAGGGGTCATAACACAACCAGAGCTCTAAACAAAATGAACGTGTGAATCAGTCAGTTGAGAACACGCATTATTTAATGATAGCAGTCATGTTCCTTATGCTCCTTGTTAGCAAATTAAGCATTGTCACTGTGTGTGTGTGTGGGATTGCAGGTGGTGTTGATTCGTCAAAGGTGAAAGGAGACAGTGACATACGCATCTTTGTGGCCCTGTTCCCTTATGATCCTGCCACTATGTCACCCAATCCTGATGCTGCTGAGGAAGAGCTGCCATTTACTGAAGGACAGATCATCAAAGTACGTCCCCACACAGCTTACACTCTATATATATATAT